GGATGCAAGAATAACGTGTATAGAATATTAAATATTAAAAAAAAATCAAAATCATACGAAAGGTAACATATTCAATACATTGTAGTTTGCTATTCATAATCACTACAATACCTCGTTTCTTGCTAGTGAACATGATGTAAATAACTTAGTTTCAATAGGAGTAGCATAATAGGTTTGAGAATTATGATTTTGAGTTGATTTACTTGTTGGCTTGTAACTGTTTCATAATTCCAAGGCCCGCAAAAAATTTAACGTTTTATGATTTTTAGACTTAATATATAAATATATTGTTTACATTGTAAATTTATTCAGTATGGTTCAGTATTTTTTCGGTTTATATTCATAAAATAAAAAACCTACCCTAATTATCGGTATGTTTATAAATTTATATAAAACTTTACGATTTTATTAAAAGAAACCTAAAATTCGATTCGGTACGGTTCGATCGATTTAGTCGGTTTTTAAACATCCATTGATACCCCTTTACACAATAATTTGAGTATTTCACTAAGCTTAACTTGCGCTTTAGTGCAGTCACCAACGCGCAAGGACTTGCGCCTCAAAATCAATGGGCGGTTCACGACTATCGTGCATCTCTGTTTCCTCGTTGGATGGTAGATAATAAAAATTATTATTGTTAATTATTTTAGAGAGGGTAATGTAATCTAGACCAACTAAGTCAAAAATGAATTAACATAAATCTAATACACGTCAAACCGATTGACAAATGACTAAAAATGCACATTCTCTAGTATAGTTTCGTATCATTTTGTATGTGAGTTGCGGGAAATCACACGTTTATAAACATGAAATATACTCATTATGTGTGTATCATGCATAGAGTGTCCATCTTCCAAGTTGATTGTGTGTACTCATTTAGGACATTGAATCAGGCTAATAAGAAGAGCAAACAGATTAAACAAAACAAACAACTCGAAATTGAAATGGATGACGTCGATAATGTCAACAACAGAAATAATCAACTTGACCCAAACATTAGAGTGGCAACAACTTTTGTGCCGGAAGCTGCTCTATATGATTGGGCACAACCAACTGCTAACAATTTGCAACTGCAACTGCAGTCCCTCCGATACAAGCGGAGACATTTCAGATTACCAACAACATGTTGCATTTGCTACAAAATAAAGGGCTGTTCTCTGGGTTGTACATCGAAGACCCACAACAACATCTGAAGAATTTTCTATCAATTTATGTCACTCAAAGACAGCCGAATGTGACACCCGAAGCAATCAGATTGTTACGGTTTCCATTCTCAATGACTGGAGAGGCTCAAACTTGGATGAATTCGCTCCCAATAAACTTCATTGCTATTTGGGAGCAATTAGTCAAGCAGTTCTTAAACAAGTTCTATCCACCCAACAAGACTACAGGGCAAATTGATGAGATATTGCAGTTCAGGCAGAAAGCAACTGAAATTTTGCAGGAAACTTGGGAGAGGTTTAAGGGCATGTTGGTGAAGTGTCCGCACCATGGCATCTCGGATCAGATGCTAGAACAAAGATTCTATATGGTTTGGCTGACAGTCTGAAGGTCAATGTAGATGCTTCAGCTGGCGGTGTATTCTTGAGCAAATCATTCACAGAGTGTAAGATTCTTCTTAACAAGATGGCTCAAAATTCAGGCTGGATGACGAGGGATACAACGCTCACTCCAATAGTACATTCTGTTGCTCTTGACCCAAATAATACAAATGCAGAAAATATAGCCATTCTTATGACCCAGATGAGCTTGTTGATAAAGAAAATTGATGAGATGGGCTCGAAATAGGTTCACATTGTTGACACAACAAATGGAGGCCTATGCACTCCCTGCATAAATAAGTCATATGTTTGCTCGTGGAGTGGAGAGAATGGTAACCAGGGCTTCAGAGAAGACATAAATTACGTCAATATTTTTAGGCGTCAGAGGCAAGGTGGACATCAATGAGGATCTCAAAATCAGTAGAACAGACCAACTCAGCAACAATACAATACCAATCTTTGGGGAGCACGACCACAAGGCCAAGTCGTGCCCTATCAAAGGCAACAAGGCTACAATCAGCATCAACAACAATTATCTCACCAACAACCTCATCCCCAGCAGGTGAGCAAACAGGACGACAATAATTTGATAGAAATCAAGGGCATGTTGCAACAAATCATTGGGACAAATGGAAGGATGCAAGAAAAGTTAGTTGTACATGACTCGACTATTAAAGGCATTGAAACTCAGTTAGGCTAACTGTCCATGAATTAGAACAATTGCCCATAAGGAACGTTGCCTGCAGACACAAACATCAATCCAAAAGAGCAGAACCCAAATCAGTTAATGGCAGCGAGTCTCAGGAATGGAAGGGATTTAGACAGAGAGCAAAAAGTCGCTCAATCTAGTAAAGGCGTAGTGCCAATTACTCCAGTGCCAGTCGGGATCGATGAGTAGATGGAGATCACAGAGGTTGTAATTGAGAAAGCATAAGTTGACAAAGGCGAAGAAAAGTATTATTTCTGGAAACGACACAGATGCGTGGACAGAAGCTGATTCCAGCACCATTCCCTGAAAGGTTGGCAAAGCAAAAGAAAGATGACCAATATAGGAAATTCATGGAAATGCTCAAACAAATTCAATTGAATATTCCACTTATGGATGTTTTGAGGTAAATACCAGGCTATGTGAAAATGATGAAGGATCTGATGTCTCGAAAATTTAACTTCCAGGACTACTTTACTGTAACTCTGGCTCAAACTTGTAGTGCGGTAGTGACAAGACCTATGGGTCAAAAATTGTCTGATCTCGGTAGTTTCACTATCCCATGCACGATTGGAAGTTATGCTTTTGCTAAAGCATTGTGTGACTTGGGAGCCAGTATGGCAATATACACAAATTTAGGCATTGGCAGAGCTAGACCGACCTCAATGTTGCTACAACTGGCTGATCGCACAGTGAAAAAGCCAATATGAATTTTGGATGATGTGCTTGTCCAAGTGGGAAAGTTTGTATTTCCTGCCAATTTTGTGTTTCTTGACTGATAGGTTGACGAAGAAATACCCATAATTTTGGGAAGGTCGTTCTTAGCCACTGGAAGAGCGTTGATTGACTGTAAGACTAGAGAATTGAAAATGAGATTGAATAATGAAGAAATAATATTCAATGTTGAATAGTCTATGAGGAGACCCGATGAAATTGCATATTGTTCACTAGTGGAGGTAGTTGATGTGATACTACAAGAGGAGGATGCGTCTCTTATTATCAGAGACCCGTTAGAAGCTTGCTTGATGAATTTGGAAGGTGTGGATGGTGAAGAGTTGGCAGAGTGGGTCATGACTCTCGAAGGTTAAGGGTTCTGGAAAAGGGAACCCCAGTTCGAGCCACTACACTTAGAAAAAAGAGAAACACCACTTGCGAAGCCATCAATAGAGGAGCCACCACAGTTGGACCTGAAACCGCTTCCAGCTCACCTCAGGTATGATTTCTTAGGGCTTAACTCTAAGTTACCTGTTATTATCTCATCTAGTTTTTTTAGCTGTGCAGGTAGAGAATCTCCTACAGGTGTTATAGGAATGTAAGACTGCTATTGGTTGGACCATGGCAGATATAAAGTGTATTAGCCCGGCCTTTTGCATGCACAAGTTTCTCTTGGAAGAGGGGCATAAACCTTCCAGGGAACATCAAAGAAAGCTGAACCCAAACATGAAGGAAATGGTGAAGAAGGAAGTAATTAAGTGGCTGGATGCATGCATCATTTTTCTGATCTCGGATAGCGTCTAGGTAAGCCTAGCCTAATGTGTTCCAAAGAAAAGTGGTATGACTGTTGTAAAAAATGAGAATAATGAGTTGATCTCTACCCGTATGTCATGGGTTGGCGAATTTACATGGATTACAGAAAACTGAACACTGCCACCCGGAAAGACCACTTTCCCCTACCATTCATTGACCAATTATTGGATTACAGATTGTATTTGGGGTACAATCTGATCACATTAGCCCTTGAGGATAGAGGGAAAACGTCATTTACTTGTCCGTATGGCATCTTTTCCTTTTGGAGAATGTCGTTTGGCCTATGCAATGCACCGACCACCTTTCAGAGGTGTATGTTAGCCATTTTCACTAATATGGTTGAAGATATTATGGAAGTATTTATCGATGATTTCTCAGTGGTGGAGAATTCATTCAAAGACTATCTTTACAATTTGAGAAGAGTGTTGAAAAGGTGTGCGGAAACAAACCTGGTACTGAACTGGGAGAAGTGCCATTTTATGGTACAAAAAGGTATAGTTTTGGGACATCAAGTGTCAAGCAAGGGTATTGAGGTCGACCATGCTAAGGTTGACATGATTGAAAAGTTGCCACCGCCCACTTTGGTCAAGGTAGTAAGAAATTTCCTTGGGTACGCCGGTTTCTATAGGCGATTTATAAAGGATTTCTCTAAAATTGCTAATCCCTTATGTAAACTACTTGAAAAGGATCATCCCTTTGTTTTTTCTGATGATTGCAGGTTAGCATTTGGGGAGCTGAAGAAGAGACTGGTGACTGCACCAATTATTATTGCACCCAACTGGGATCAACTGTTTGAGCTCATGCGTGATGCGAGTGACTATGCTGTAGGAGCAGTTCTGGGGCAGTGAAAGGACAAAATTGTGCACCCAATTTACTATGCAAGTAGAACGCTAAGCGGCGCACAACTCAATTATATCGTGACTGAGAAAGAGATGTTGGCTGTGGTGTTGGCATTCGACAAATTCAGGTCTTATTTGATTGGTTCATAAGTGATTATTTATAGTGACCAAGCAGCACTTAGGTACTTGATAGCAAAGAAGGATTCAAAGACACGCTTGATACGTTGGGTTCTTTTGCTACAAGAATTCGATTTGGAAATTTGCGATAGGAAGGAACGGAGAACCAAGTAGCAGATCACCTTTCAAGGTTGGAGGGAGTTGAAAAAGAAAGTAGAGGTTGAAGATATAACAGAGACATTCTCGGATGAACAATTACTAGCAGTAGAAATGGAGGAGATGCCTTGGTATGCTGGTATTGCTAGTTATTTGGCAAGCGATATTGTACCTTATGAACTCTCTTCGATTCAAAAGAAAAAATTCTTTCGTGATTGTTGGTCTTATTACTGGGATGAACCATTACTTTTTAAAATATGTGTGGATAAAGATCCGGAGGTATATCCCCGAGAAAGATCAATCTTCTATTTTGTAGGCTTGCCACGCTTTACCATATGGTGTGCACTTTGGAGGAATTCGAACAGCTTTGATGGTGTTGGAGTCGGGTTTGTATTGGCCAACTTTGTTCAAGGATGCCCATGCCTGGTTGTAAAGTTGTGATGAGTGCCAAAGAACTGGCAACATATCTCGCCGTCATGGGATGCCAATGACTACAATTCAAGAGGTGGAAGTGTTTGACATATGGAAGATTGATTTTATAGGACTATTTGTCAGCTCGTACGGTAACAAGTACATATTGGTAGCAGTTGACTATGTCTCCAAATGGGTTGAAGCTATGGCTCTTCCAACAAATGATGCCAAAGGAGTGATAGGATTTTTAAGAAAAAATAGTTTCACACGTTTTGGCACTGTGAGAGCTATAATCAGTGCTGGTGGAATCCATTTTGGCAATAGAGCGTTCGCAAGGCTATTAGAAAAGTATAGAGTTAGCTATAAGGTTGCCACACCTTACCACCCGCAAACAAGCATGCAAGTAGAAGTGTCCAACAGGGAAATTAAAAGTGTCCTAACCAAGAAAATGAATGTGACTTGGACTGATTGGGCAAGGAAGTTGGATGATGCATTATGGGCGTACCGCACAACATTTAAAACTCCAGTTGGTATGTCTCTATACAAGTTTGTGTTTGTTAAATCATGCCATCTTCCGGTGAAATTTGAGCATACAGCTTTATTGGCACTGCAGCAGTTGAATTTGGATATGGAAACCAAGCACAACTAGAGTTACAGAGTTACATGAACTCGAGGAATTTCCGTTCCAAGCATTCGAGAGTGCAAGATTGTACAAAGAAATGAACATGATACATGATAAGCACATTCTACACTAAAACTTCAAACCCGGAGATCTAGTATTGTTATACAACTTGAGATTAAGATTTTTTCGGGGTAAGCTAAAATCTTGATGGTCAGGACTATTTAGGGTTGTGCAAGTGTTCCTAAGTGGAGCAGTAGAAATTGAGTCCGTAGATGGAACGAATAGGTTTAAAGTGAATGGGCAAAGGTTAAAATACTACCTTGGAATGATTGAAGAAAAAGGGGAGAAAGATGTGATGTACTTGGAAGAGCCCCACTATGTGAGCGAAGTGTAATCCTGAAAGCATGTGTTGTACCGCAATGTTAAATTAGGCGCTTCCTAGGAGGCAACATATGGTCTTGTTGTAAATCGTCGTGCCACGACAGTAAATTAAGCTCTTGTTGGGAGGCAACCCAAAGTTCGTGATTTCTTTTATTTTTCTCTTTGATTTTGATTTTGATTTTTGGGATGTATGACATGTTTGCGAGTGTTATAGGTATAAAAAAAGTGCAAGTAAGCATCGCTCAAGAGAAAAAAAATTGTGACTGAGCGTGCTAGGTCCAGTGCATTGCACAATGTTGGCACGCTAACAGTGGTACCAACTTCACAAAAAAGTGAAGTATAGAGAGTTGCACAGCACCTGGCACGCTCCCAGGTAAGTTACATAAATAAAATTAAGAAAAAAGGAAAATTCTGAAATTACTAAAACCCAAATCCCCGCCTCTCTTTCTCACTAAAACCTTACGACCCTTTCCCCCTCACGCGTCTCTCTCTCTGTCTCTCACGATCATCTCCCCACTGTCGCACTTCTTTCCACCACCAAAATCCCCTCCCATTCTCATCGGCCAACAGGTACTATGACTATTTCTCAAAAGCCTACCAGTAGCCACAATGCAGGAGGACATAGAAAACCTATTCTGAAAAAGCCGCAGAATGAGGTACGCACGAAGAATGTGCATGACAGAGTTGTGCTAGAGAATGTTGCGGTGGTATCTGAGGCCACCATGGTGCATATGGATCTGCCTGCCCCACCACCACTGAGGCTCAGTGAGCACGAAAATCTAGGCCTAGACAGGTCCCTGTTTAAATTAGGGAAGGAAATTCATAACCACAACAGGAAGTGTAAGAGGATCAAGGTTCAAGAAAAAGGGAAAGCAAAGAAAGTACGTGACTCCATCTCAGAGGATGATGATTCTGAGGAGGAGGATGAGTTCGAGGATGAGGTCCTGCCGCTAGAAGGGGAAGGATAGCCAAGTGCTCTTGTTGATAAATTTGTTTGGGAGACTGACTTTGTAAGTGAACTTGCATGGCAGAAATGGGGTGAAATTAAGCAGAAGTAGGTAAATCCAAATTTGTTTGAACGCCCATTGAACTTTGACGCTACCAGGAGGAGTTGCCCAAATATTGTGACTAAGATTGAAAAGAGAGTTTGGACGCAGTTTGCTCAAGGGCCTAAAGGTGAGGCCAACCTGACACTTTTTCGGGAAATATATGCAAATTGGAATTCGAAACAAGGTGATGACATGGTTTGGGTCCGTGGACAGATGGTAGATATTTCTGCAGCTGCTATCAACAGATACTACTGCGTTCGCCCATATCTTGTGTCTGAGTACTTGAGGAGCGCATAGAAGCCAAACACTAACCACATGCTTGCTATTCTAACTAATAACACAGGAAGAGCTAAATTTGATGCCAAAAACAAGTTGATAAAGACATACTTCAACAAAGAAGCCTGATCATGGTTGAACTGGATCTCCTCGCGGTTGATGCCATCCACTCACAAGTCCGTTGTGATTTGTCCACGAGTATTTCTTATATATGCCTTGATGATAGGGATATCAATCAATGGTGGCGCCGTCATCAAAGTCAAATGCAAAATACCCGCACTAACATGCTGTGGACACTCTACTTTGCCCACACTTTGACTGCATTATGTGAGAAGTTCAAGTTAGGTAAGGTGACTGATGAGTTTAGCAAGGGCATAGAGGATCAACTCCATGACTACTTCCATGTCCAAGACCCGAATGAGAAACAGTTAAATAAATTGGACCAGGGTGATAGAATAGAGACTATGGAGCGTGAGATCCACCAGTTGTGGTTGGATTTAGAGGCACGGGATCATGCATTGCAGGATGTTCAGGATGTTAGAGATCGATGGATGCGAAATCCGTGTGCCATGCTTCTTGACGCAGTTCGTGGGGTGAGACATAAAAGGCATGTTGGAGTCCAAATGGATTTTGATGCGACTTTGATGAGTGCTACTGAGGACACCCTTATTGATGAGCAGACCGAGGCTCGCAAGGAGGTTGTGATAGAGGTTTCCCTGACTAGGGAGGTTGAGCTGATAGCGGTGGTTGACATGTCTGGTGTCGCACTACAGGATCCATCAACATCGAGGAGTGAAGCTAACAACCGGTCCTCGCCACCGCCAGAGTGATAATGAGGGCGTTTCTGACACCCGCTCTACTTTTTAAACTTGCTTATTTGTATTTTTGTGATGTTATGCAACTGAGGACAATACACTTCTTGAGTGGGGTGGGGTATCATATTTTGATATTTTTGGCATGTGCTTAATTTCTAGTGATATATTTTTAATTGCATGATCACACTTAATCATTGTAATTGTATAATTGTAGTATTTTTTAGTGGCTCAATCCTGGATTTTCTTTAAACTATAGTTATTTTCCGAGGATGCCATTTTCTTGAACCGGGTATTTTTAGGTAGATTTCTCAAACTTTGTAATTAAATTTGTGGACTTTCCCAATGACGGATTTATTAGATAGTTTTCTTGAGGGACTAAAGTCTAAAGAAAAATACAAAAAGATTTTTTTTTTGTTTTGTCTTCTTTATTCTCTCCCCTATTCTTTTCTTGTTGAACTGACAATGGAACATGAGAGCTTGAGCAATCTGTGTTTTGGACATGTTTACATCGGGGCTTAGGTCCGAAGCATTTGCGCTGAGTTCTTTCTTCTTAATTCTTGTGACTATATGCTTGAGAGTATATGTGAGGTTCTTTTGACACTTGGACTCGTCTATTGACTTTGTTGTTAATTCCTAGTGTTCGAATGATATGATAACTGTTCTAGTTGCTTTATCTTGAGAGTCGGGTCTGAGCCGTCAGGAGTAAGTCATGTGCATTGTGTGAGGTGTCATTTTAGTTGTACTCTATGACATCCCTTGTTAGAAAATAATATAGGCATTTCTTTGATTGACCCTTCGGCCTATATGCCTACCACTGATAACATTATCCGTAGTCAGACCTTTAGAGCTTGTAGACCTTTTCTTTGGCACCCATATTACGAGCCAACCCCTATTTTGTTCTAAATCGTATCTTGTTAACCCTTTACCTTCAAAAGCACTTAGTCACTGAAAAAGTGAAGGAAGATATTGGATAGCTTTTGAGGGCCCTACTAGCTGGAAACACCAAATTAAGGAGAGTGTCAAAAAAAGAGAGAATGGCACTCCCATATCATTATTCGGGCTAGTGAGTATCTATATGTAGATGTGCTTAATGAAAAAAGGGCATAATCGTGTATGTGTTTCATTGGCAAAATATTGAGTTGGTCATGACAAGAATGTGCTTGAAAACATGGTGTATTAAAGTGCTTAGGAAGGTTGGTCACTCTTTTCCTATATATATATATATATATATTTATCATACCCGTCCCTTAGCTTACATTACAACCTATAAAGTCCTACTTGATCCTAGATTTTACAAGCTTAAATTAGTCGAGTCTTACACTACAGGCAAGCCTATGGTCTGAACATGAGTGGTATATGATTTGCATTGCGAGAGTGAGTGAATTCTTTCAATATTTGAATCATTAGATTACACTTCAATTTATATTTGAGTGTTTGGACTATTTCTCTCTGTAGTTTGTTGGTAAGGGAACATGATTTGCGAAGGATTGATAAAGTCCTTGGTTTTTGAGTTAGCACAAGAAGCAAGTCATAGAATGGAATGAATTAGAGTCAATTTTTAAGGCTAGTATATGAGAAGAGTCATATAAAGATTTTAAAATAGCCGTGACATTGGTCTAAAAATTGAGAAAAGATGTCAATCACTCTTATGTTGAGTTCTAAGCGTTGATATAAATCATTGCCATTGCTCTGATGCTTGAGTATGCTTTGGAATTGTGTTACTTGCCGATGTACTTTATATTGAGTTGCTCGAGGACGAGCAAGAACTTAAGTGTGGGGTGGTGATAAATGACTAAAAATGCACATTTTCTAGTATAGTTTCATATTATTTTGTATGTGAGTTGTGGAAAATCACATGTTTATAAATGTGAAATATACTCATTATGTGTGTATCATGTGTAGGAGTAAATTTGGATGGAAGTTGGCAAGAATTAGATGATTTGATGCAAAAAGATAGAGTTGCAAGAGCTGGAAGTGTGCCACAATTGGTGCATTGCGTGAAAGTAGGCGTGAAATGATTTAGAAAATAAAAAAAAAAATAGCGAAGTATGGAGGTTGGTACTGGACCTGGCATGTGAAAGAATAAGGGAAAAGAAGTAACAACTGGGAGCGTGCAGAAGTCGCACGTTGCACCAACTCCGGCATGCGACTGAGCATATCGTTTTTGAATTAAGGGAGATCAAGGACGCCCCACATCAATCCTATTCAGTATAAATACAACTTCAAGCCATTTTTGAAGGGTTACACAATATTTTAAGAGGCAAGAACATATAAGGAGCAAGACGGAGAATTCTTCTACGAGTTTTTCACCTTCTTCTTCTTATTTCCGTTGTTGGTTATTACTTCCTATATTGTAATCTTGCATAGTAGTATGATTAGCTAAACTCGTCATCTAGGGTTGATAGAACCAATTGTTTGATGAAGTCTTGATTGCATTTTGATATAATTAAGCCATTTCTACTCTTTAATTGTTCAAGTATGTGTTTCTTGTGGTTAATTGAAAGGC